TTCCAGCCACAGAGTCGGATCTCTACTGGAAAACCGTGGAAACTCAAGTTTGGAAAATTTAGAATGAAACATGTCATTGCGTTGATCCAGATCAATTCGATTGGTCGGATTGCTACGATATTCTCAGTCGGCTTATCTTATCAGATTTTGTAGCGCTCAAACTCATTTCTGTATCACTGGCTATGGATTCCATTAGACGAATAAGGATTGCTTCGATGTGAAAGAATTTTGTCACTCCGACCTACAAGTTATGTATTCCATCTTAAAGGATTTTGAGGCTTGACTCCAATAGTTAAAGGTGGTCTTCGTTCGTAACCTTCTCACAAGGAAGGGGTCCAACCGAGGAACTCTAATATTTTTTGTTGTGTTTGGGTGGAATGTTGATAAGCGCTAGCTCTTAGAGCATTTTCAATAGGGTATCTCAATAAGATACACACATTAAAAAAATAATAAAACTATGAAAAATGATGAGAAAGAACAAGAGACTCATGGCAAGAGTATCTCAAATGAGATACCCATGAGATACTGATTGTACACTTATTCTCATTTTATTGGTTCATTTTATTTTCTAACATTAATTTAATTAACATAAATAAATTCTATTAAAAATGCTAATATTAAATTGGTAAAAAATTCTCATGGGTATCTCAATTAGAGACTATGGATGGAGACGCTCTTATAACATTCATAGGTGAAAGTAGCTTTCAAGACTACTTTATTACCTTGACCTCAAGGTCTTTAGAACATAATCAATGGTAGTTTGTTAATTTGGGGTTCTAAGTAATTTTATTATTATTAAGGTTAGGCTTCCTAGATTTGTAGGCTCATCTCTATTGTTTTTGAAATGCAGATTTTTAAAAATCTTATATGCTTTTGAGAGTGGTGGTTTTTCTTTGAGAAGCACAAAGTTTTCTGGATTCTCAAATCTTGTAGTTTTTAGTGAGTATATCTCTTCTATTGAGAGAAGACATAAGTTTTCTGGATTCTCAAACCTTGTAATTTACTCCCGGTGGAAGAGTTCATTTCCACCCTCTTCCATCTCTTTGAACATGGTCGTATCTTCTTCCCTCTCACGGAGAGTGGTCGAACCCCCGTGCTTAATGCCGGGAACTTCAAAGTCGCATGGTAACGTGACTAACTTGAGACTCTCCGGCTTTGCCGCGAAGACCCTCCTGATGCATCCCAGACATGCTTTGGATTCGCTGTCCATCTTTTGCGATGATTTATCTATTTTATGCTTTATTGTTTTTCAATTATGGTGTAACATTTCTGGAGGATGTTTAATTCCCTCCTCTTGTATTTTGATCGATTAAATGAATGAAAAATTGTTGACAAAAAAAAGTAATTTTTTATTATAAATTGTTTTTGGGATTCTAAATCTCTAAAATTTGGGGTTCTAAATCTCTAAAATTAGAACATTTTTATTGAGGTTCTAAGTATTTTGTGTATTATTTAATTATTTTTAATATTTTAGAAATCCATTAAAAACTACGAAACACTACCATTGATCATGCTCTCATATCCACAAAGCAAAATAAACTATTTTGATTTGAGCGTTACAGAGCCGATGGAAAATACCTCAACATCGTGTTCTTTCAACACAGTATATTTGCTATCTACGTAGGAGATTTGTCTCACGGTGGTTAGACCTACATAATCTAGAGACTCCAATTTTTTGTTGCGTTTGGGTGAAATGTGGATAAGTGCTATGATACCATTCAAAGGTCACAGTAGCTTTTGAGAAAAAAATCATCTCAACTTGCAGATTTGAAGTCTACTAAATTTCAAGTCTACTATATCGTCTTGACCTCAAAGTCTTTAAATATACAAAGCAAAAAAAATTATTATGAATTGAACGTCAAAGAACCGCAAGAAAATATTCAACATTGTGTTTTCTCGGTCCAACGCATTCGCTATTTATGTAAGAGATTTGTCTGATAGCGGTTTACGTAGGAGATGATGCTTTGAAGATTAAGATATGTTTCAATATTCGGACAAACTCATACTTTTAATTAAAATATTGATTATATAATTCTGACTGATCCTTTCAATGGCAAATCTGATGCCAATAATCGAAGCTAATAGTATATTTTATGACGTGGGAGAGACAACATTAAATATAAATAGAAATATATCTATTGTCTGTTTTCGTACCTAACTAGAACCTTTTGAGCGATACATTGATTCTAGATTGTTAATCGCCATCTCCACTAATCACTATAATAGAAAATCATCGACGTTAGGTCCTCGAAGATTCATAAAGATTTCAGACAAAAGTGAAAAGTGAAAAGAAAGAAAAATAATCATGAAATTTGAGCTGGTCTTCATACCAGCTCCTGGAATCAGTCATCTAAGATCATCAGTAGAGATTGCGAAGCTACTAGTGGATCGCGAAACCCGCCTCTCTATCACCGTCATAATCCTCTTACGTGGCGGAAGCGGAGCCGGTGATTCCGCTTACCTGGCAGCTCTCTCGGCCTCATCCAACGACCGTCTCCGCTACGAATTGATCTCCGGCGAAAGTCACCAACCAACCGCCTCGCAGATGCCTCAGGTTCATATCGAGAACCAGAAGCCAAAGGTGAGGCTAGCCGTTGCGAAACTCGTCCACGACTACTCGATGGTACGGGACTCACCGCGGATAGTTGGCTTAGTCATGGACATGTTCTGTGTCTCGATGATTGACGTGGCGAACGAGTTTTGCGTTCCGAGTTATCTATTTTACACCTCGAACGCTGGGATTCTCGCACTCAAACTTCACGTCCATACCCTGTACGGTGACGAGGACAAATACGGTCTGAACGAAACAGTGTTTGAAGACTCAGAGGGTGAGTTGAGCGTTCCGAGTTTGACTCGTCCTTATCCGGTAAAGAGTCTTCCTCACTTTTTAGCATCGAAAGACTTGCTACCGATTATTGAGAGATTGAGAGAGGTTAAGGGTATTTTGGTAAATACTGTTAATGAGCTTGAACCTTATGCGTTGAAGTTTCTCTCCAGTGGTGATACTCCTCGTGTTTATCCGGTGGGACCAATGTTGCATCTCGAGAACCAAGTCGACCAGAAGCCATCGGAGATTTTTGAATGGCTTGACGAGCAACCGGAGAAATCGGTAGTGTTCCTCTGTTTCGGGAGCATGGGAGGTTTCAGTGAGGAGCAAGCAAGAGAAATCGCCGTTGCGCTCGATCGAAGCGGCCACCGTTTCCTCTGGGCGGTCCGTCGCGCATCTCCGGGTACAAAGTCTCCCGGAGAATTCACGAATCTGGAGGAGATTCTCCCGAAAGGATTCTTTGATCGGACTAAGGAGAGAGGGAAAGTTATCGGATGGGCTCCACAGGTGGCCGTGCTGGCGAATCCGGCGATCGGAGGTTTTGTCACTCATTGCGGATGGAATTCGACGTTAGAAAGCCTCTGGTACGGTGTTCCCACGGCGGCGTGGCCGTTATATGCAGAGCAGAAGTTTAACGCGTTCCTGATGGTGGAGGAGCTTGGATTGGCGGTGGAGATAAAGAAGCATTGGAGAGGCGATCTTTTGGCCGGAACGGCGATGGATACGGTGACGGCCGAGGAGATTGAGAGAGGAATTAGGTGTTTGATGGAGCAGCAGAGTGACGTGAGGAAGAGAGTGAAGGAAATGAGCGACAAGTGCCACGTGGCTTTGATGGATGGTGGTTCGTCCAGGGTTGCGTTGAAAAAGTTTATCGAAGACGTTATGAAGAATTCAGCGGATAGGGAATTGGAGCATGTTGGCTCTTGAACGATAAGTCCAAATAGTTGGTCTAGAGTTCGTGAATCCAATCTTGTAAAGACTAGCATCTTTCCCAAAAAAACCGGTTTTATGGTTATTAAAAGCATCATAGGATTGTGTTTTCTCAAAAAACCGTTTATTAGTTGCTAATGTATCATATGGTTGTATCTATCATTTTCTGTGAAAATGTATCATAGGGTTGTGTTTTTTCAAAAAATAAAAATTGTTTAATTTTACGAATGTTAAATTTCTATCTAAACCCTAAAATGAGATTTTAATTGTTTTATTCTTCATTACATAGTCTTCATAAGTCTGATTTAGGTTACTCTAACTTGAGAATTGATAATAACCATGTTTTAAAATCCATAAGAGATGATTATAGATTTATGTTCGAATGCATGTGTGTTGAAAATAAATTGTATATTTGATTGTGTTGGCAACAACTTTAAAAAAAAATTGTATCTTTGATTGTGTTGGCAACAACTTAAAAAAAAAACTATATATATATATATAGTCGGAGGTTCTTTATCTTTGCGATTTTGCGGAGGGTTCGAGTCTTAATAATAATAATATTTTTCTAATTTGTGATGATATTATAAAAATATT